TTCAGTGTAGTGTTGGATACAAGTCTGCTTTTCCCATTGAAAATACTTCTGAAAATATGTTTAGTCTGGGAGAGCCGTTATCCATTATTTAAACACCTGGTCATCATCTTTTCAGATTTTATTGTTACTTTAGTTTTTTAAGGATGTTTTTATTTGTAAGATCATGTGTTTGTGTTGGGATATTGGTGTAAAAGTTACTTGTAAGTATGATACACTAATAAAACCTTTCACATTTCCCACCCTTGTTTTGTGACCGGGTGTAATTGTGGAGAGAACCTTATCTGAGAAAAAAAAGTGTCTATAAGTCAGCTTTTGTTTCAACGCTAAAAAGAAATTTGTGGTTGGATCTGGATGAAATATCACCCACAAATAAATCCATTTGTATAAGTGTTCATAAGAATTTACAACTTACAGGTAATAAAGACTTAGTCAAGATTAAACAAATCAAAACTAAATATTTTGTACCCCTTAAACCTTCTTAAGTTCCCCAGATCCCCTGACTGGTTAGTTGGGCCAAGAAAAAGGAACTCTTATAAAATGCGACCATCTAGTACTGGAAAGAAGACACTGCCAAACAATTACAAACGATTACATGTTAGGCTACCGAAAATATGTAATGCAACTATATTTATATTTTGAAGCGTTTTAATGTTAAGGTGTTAGTATTAGTAATTAGTGCTGGGCCTCATAAAAACTTTGAGAGTGTCAAAAACAGCCTGGTGGTTTAAAAAATATCCCTATATATTGTATGGTATAGTTGAGTACACTATATAGGGGATAGGGAGAATAATCCCTATATATTGTATGGTAGTTGAGTGCACTATATAGGGGATAGGGAGAATAATCCATATCTATTGTATGGTGGTTGAGTGCACTATATAGGGGATAGGGATAATAATCCCTATATATTGTATGGTAGTTGAGTGCACTATATAGGGGATAGGGAGAATAATCCCTATATATTGTATGGTAGTTGAGTGCACTATGTAGGAGATAGGGAGAATAATCCCTATATATATTGTATGGTAGTTGAGTGCACTATATAGGGGATAGGGAGAATAATCCCTATATATATTGTATGGTAGTTGAGTGCACTATGTAGGAGATAGGGAGAATAATCCCTATATATATTGTATGGTAGTTGAGTGCACTATATAGGGGATAGGGAGAATAATCCCTATATATATTGTATGGTAGTTGAGTGCACTACATAGGGGATAGGGAGAATAATCCCTATATATTGTATGGTAGTTGAGTGCACTACATAGGGGATAGGGAGAATAATCCCTATATATTGTATGGTAGTTGAGTGCACTACATAGGGGATAGGGAGAATAATCCCTATATATTGTATGGTAGTTGAGTGCACTATATAGGGGATAGGGAGAATAATCCCTATATATTGTATGGTAGTTGAGTGCACTATATAGGGGATAGGGAGAATAATCCCTATATATTGTATGGTAGTTGAGTGCACTATATAGGGGATAGGGAGAATAATCCCTATATATTGTATGGTAGTTGAGTGCACTACATAGGGGATAGGGAGAATAATCCCTATATATTGTATGGTAGTTGAGTGCACTATATAGGGGATAGGGAGCTGTTTCGGACCCAGTTTTCGTTTTTCTTTGATCACGTGATTCTGAAAACAATTCGCCCTCCAGCACAGAGTTTATACGCGCTTTGAAGCTTCTGTGTCATATGTAACATCACTATTAGTAATGTATTAGTAATATTTGTTAGACTTAAAGCCCAAATTCAGAACTTGATTTGACACTGTTGCTCTGTTAAAGCTGCAATCCGTAACTTTTTTTGCGTTCAAAATTTACTAAATTAATATAATAAGAGAGTACATCATTAATCTATTTTCCAAACAGTGCTTTGGCGGAATCACTACGGTACACCTATAATAAGCTTTTATATTCGGACTATTTGGTGGAACCGCTGCGGAGTAGCCCAGTACCTGCGTGATTCGTCTGTACATCAAAGTAGTGCTGTTTTGGCGGGAAATAAATTCCGCGCACAAGGCTGTGCCGCCCAGTTCTGGGGGCTGGACCATAGACATATATGGGCTGGATTGTGGTGTCTTCGGGACGTAGGCTATCCACCGAGAGGGCGGAGTCCTCGGAGTCCGTGAATAAAGGGACTCCAGCTTTCGGGTTTTTAAAAACCTCTTCTCTCTGCGCGTGCGGCGTGTGAGGTGTGTTCTGCGCATAGACTGTGGTTCTTCGACGAGTCTGTGAGTAATTCTCTCGTTGTGCTGTTCTTAATGTAATTGATTACTGCTTGGAGTTTTAGAATAATTATCATAACATGCTACCATGGTCTCAGTCTTTTAATGAAGCCATGCACAAAACTGCCTCTTCATTTTGCCGTCCTTATTTTTTAGTGGCTTAACAGCATGTACGCACGCCTCAAGTTAGTAAAAGAAAAATAATATGACAAGAAAATGTAAAAATGTGTATCTTTGACTTGACTCATTTCACTGAAGGGCTGTTGATATTGTGATCAACTGACCAGTTACTCCATTTATTTGACATATAATGAAATATAGCTAAATATGACAAAATTATTGCCCAATTATTTAGTTTTTCATTTTGTTTAAGTCAAGTCAAGTCACCTTTATTTATATAGCGCTTTTAACAATACAGATTGTGACAAAGCAACTGAACAGTATTAATTAGGAAAATAGTGTCAATAATGCAAAATGACAATAGTAAACACTCATTTTTCAGTTAAAGACAGTTCATCATTGAATTCAGTGATGTCAACATCCAGCTTAGTTCAGTTTAAATCTTTGCAAT